CTAGGAAATGACAATCTTCAGATCAAAGCTGAAAATAGGAAACACAATATATTAACATTGTAGCATAGATGGCGTTCTGTGAACTTCTGCTCCTAATTATCCAACTTTACTAGCTCTGCATTTGCTTATAACAATAAAACAGGCTTTACCAGAAAAAAAATTAAATTAAAACTTTTTCATTATGAAAAACTCTTTTATCTCAAATTAGAAAAATGAAGACTTTAAATTACAATAATAAAATTTAAATATAGGTGGCGTTAAATATAATACACGGAAGAACTGCGGGGAACACCTCCATAAATCGCTCATTATAAGTTCATGAAATTCTGTTTTCTTATAATTTACGAGCAAGATAACTGCCCCATTTAGGTTCAATTGAAGAAATGCTGATTAATTGTTGCTTTACCGTAATGGAAATAAGTATATGAATGGTATTCTATAATATAAATCGACCACAATTATCGCAAACGGAAAAGTCGAACAAGACTTTTCCATCATGAAATATTCTTCAGTTTAAAGTAGAAAAAAGGGAATGTAAACGAATAACTGCATATAAAGTGAATACCTTATTTCGACTCAAATTTTAGTCTCCTATTTTTACAAACAAAGATTCACGACCTAGATTATTTGTGTTAGATCAAAATTAAGAAATTAAGTTATAAAATATAGAAAACATACAAAAAAAAATTACAATTGAAGTATAGATAGCGCTAAGTGCAACATTAAACTTATTTCCTAACATAGCTTATTTCGCTTCAAAATTTTAGTATAATCTTGTGGTTGCACGACCTAGGTAAGCTAGAAAACTTGCCTAGGTCTCATTCTAAAAATACTGGGTACTTTTTAGCCCCATCAAAGTTTATCAACTCTTTTCATTTCGATATGCATGGTATGGCACCTTTCCATAAACGACATGAACCAGACTCCGCGTAAATGAAAAAGAAAAGCAAAACTTTCTCATCATGAAAAGTTCTTTCAACTCAATGTAGAAAATATAAAAAAATTAGTAGCCAACTACAACAAACATTTACACACATGGGAGCTTGAAGTATTGGAGAAAAAAACTCACTATTGTTAGACAAACCAATAATGGACAGCCACAAAGACCGACGTATAGCTGTAGTCCAACAATGTGTGGCTTCTCCCTGTCTGCAAAGAAATGTTTCAACAAAAGCCAACAACACATCATTGATCTTTTGCCTTGCAATGTTGTTGATGATGATCTTTCCAACAGCGGCAGCAGCAATTCATGGGCCACAACTCAGGAATTAAGACCAAAAACCGATAGACAGCAACAGTGAGCTTTAGATTTACTGCTTGTCGTTTGAAGTTTTTCTATTTTTTGTTTGCGCTCAACATTGAAAACTGATCTATTGTAACCATATATGGGGGATGAATATGTCTTGAAATGCATTCAAACTGGACAATCAGCCAGGCAGCCACATCAGCCCGGCAATATTTCCAACCACTCAGCTGAAAATCTTTGGGATTTTTCTTCAGGTTTTCTTCTTCTTCGTCGTCTTCTTTTCCTAAGCAGGAAACAGTTTTTCCAGCTCCATATTTGACCAAAATGCAATAAAACTCAAACATATTGAGGGAAATTTTTTGCGCAATCTTTAGTGAAATAAAATGTATTTGCAGGAAAAACGGCCGTTATGACCATAAAAAGAAAAACTGAAAATAATCGTGTTTGGCTTTCTAAAGAATTGAGTGTGAGTTGCCACAACTCCAAAATGGGGGGAGGGGTATGAAAATTGAGGAAAATATTCTTTGTCCCAATATCGAAATTTGATGCTTCGAATGCATAGCAAGTTCCTGTCTTTTCCGTAAATCTAATTGTAAAAGGGGAAAATTGCGCTGCAGTTTTCATTCTCTATCCAAATTTCAAATTTGGTCCTTCGAGGTATTATTATGTGCATAGTGAGATATGGCAAATTGCAATGCATTTCACCTCGAAGGACCAAATTTGAAATTTGGGCAGAGAATAAAAACTGCAGCGCAATTTCCCTCGAAGGGCCAGAACACATGAAACAGAGTTTTTGATCCTTCGGTGAAGTTTAAGATTCGGATTGGTGAAGTTATAAGTTTTTGGAGCGGTTTTTAAATATCTTATTTTGAATCTATAACCAGAAAATGATTGGATAATCAAAGTGAAAAAAAAACTGGCATGATTCACAGCGAGAGAAATTATATCTATCACAGCTCAGGCAGCAAGGAGTGCGCTGAGACTACGGATAGCGGAAGGGTGACACCATCAATGGGGCTTGCCTAAATCATATTTGATTCTCCGATTAAACTCAACCCAGGATTCTCGACATCTCTGTATTTTCAGAAGATAGACTTTTCTAAAGAACCTTGGGACCCTTGCACACGATCGTTGATTTATATGTTAGTCATTTTCATTTTCTCTTTCCTTAAGAATTATTTTGTTTTCTGTTCCAAAGAGATTTTTGAATCGCTAATTTTGAAAACTTTTAAATTTGGTCCTTCGATTTCTCAGAAACTAAAGAATTCTTTATTGCTTATAGAATCGCGATTTCATTTGGTCTTTCCCATTACACCATTAAAAGTTATATGCCCAGTTCCTCCTTTTCACTATCAATGGTAATGAACCTCAATCAAATTTGGTTCTTCAACCTCAACAAAAAATTCCGCACAATCTGACCTAACCTATCAAGCGAGGTTCTGGATTTCCCTATTTTAGGATGTTACAGTGGTAGCTTCGGACCCTTAGACTTGGTCCTTCGCTTACATTTCTAGCCTACAAAACTTCCAGGTTTCTATGAATTGTAGTTTTCTGTTTCAAAGAAACTTTGGTTCGCTGGTTTTGAAAACCTTTAAATTTGGTCCTTCGAGCTCTCAGAAATTAAATAATTTCTTATGGTTTCTAGTGTTTATTAATTTGATTTAGAGATTCCATTAGGTCTCTCGAATCCTTTTATCACAAGTTTTTCAAACGTTCCACCTTTCAATAATCAACGGTATTCGTCTCAATCAAATTTGGTCCTTCGACACCAATATAGAATTCCATACAATCTGACCTAGCTTACCAAAAAAACCCCGTAGCTTTCGTTCTCCCTATATTAAGAAGTAACGCTGTTCTAAAGAAGTTACGAAGCCTTGCTTATATTTCTAGTTTACAAAGTTGTCCAGTTTCTCTTCTCTTAGGAATTGCTGTTTGGTTTCTTTGTCAAAGAAACTTTGGTTCGCTGGTTTTCAAAATCCTCAAATTTTGTCCTTGGAGCTCTCAGAAACTCAAAAATTTCTTATAGCTTCAAGTATTTATAAATTTGGCTCGGCGATTTAATTTGGTCTTTCGAATTCAATTATTACAAGTTTTTTAAACGCCCCAACTTTCAATAATCAACGGTATTCATATTAATCAAATTTGGTCCTTCGACCCCCATACAGAATTCCATACAATCTGACCTAACTTACCAAACAAACCCCAGAGCTTTCGTTCTCCCTATTTTAAGAAGTTATCCCGTTTTAAAGGAGCTACAAAGCCTTATACTTGGTCCTTCGTTTATATTTATTTTCTACAGAATTGTAAGGTTTCTGTTCTCTTAGTAATTGTGGTTTGCTCTTCCCAGGAAGCTTTGGTTCACTGGCTATGAAAACTTTAAAATTTGGTCCTTCGAGCTCTCAAAAACTAAAGAATTTCCTATAGCTTCTAGTATTTATTAATGTTACTCGACGATTTCATTTTGTCTTTCGGATTCCATTATCTGAAGTTGTAGCAACAGTTTTCCCCCCAATATCATGAACCTCTATCAAAGATGGTCCTTCGACCGCAATTCTAGCTTTCTACAATCTGCCTTACTTTTCGAATTAACCCTGGGGTTTTTGGATTGTCTATTCGGAAGAACTAGAACTTATATTCCATAGGTATTTGGGGTTTGCTGTACCAAAGTAATTTCGGTTCGCTGTTTTAGATGACCTTTAAATTTGGTCCTTCGAGCTCCCAAACATTAAAGAATTTCCTATTTATTGTAGTGTTTATTGAGTTGGCTCAGCGTTTTCATTTAGTCTCTCGGACTCCATTATCGGAAGTTATATTCACGGTTTTCCTCTTTTCATAACCAAAGGTATGAACATGAAACAATCTGACCTTACTTATCAAACTAACCCTGGGGTTCTGGTTCTCTCCATTTTAGAAAGTTACGCTGTTGCCAAGAAGCTTCGGACAATTCGTTTTCATTCCATTCTTTCTTAAATTTCTAGTCTACCGAACTTTCAAGCTGTCATCCCCAGAAATTGCGATTTGCTGTTTCGGTCACATTGTAATGACAGGTTTTCGACATAGACTAGAGTAGCTCGCTGGGTCGAATAGTTCATTCCGAAATGCATTTAATTTGATACAGAAAGAGAAAGATAGTTGTTTTCGTTTGATAATACACTTTATTGTTGAGATTCGCTCTTTTCGATAACTTTTAAATTTGGTCCTTCGAGCTCTAAGAAATTGAAGAATTTCTTATAGCTCATAAGTGGATTCGGCGATCTCATTCGGGCTCCATTATCTAAAGTGGTATCAACCCTTTCCTCTAATTCACAATCAATAGTATGAACTTCAATCAAAAATGGTCCTTTGATCGCAATTCCAGTTCTTTACAACCTAACCTCACTTTTTGAACAAAGGTGGGGTTATAATTCTGCTTATTTTAGGGAGTTGTACCGTTTGCTTGAATTTCGTGTCTACCGAACTTTCAGTTTGCTCATCCCCAGGAATTGCTGTTTTTTGCGCCAAAGAAAATTTGTTTCGCTGTTTTCGATTAATCTTTGAATTTGGTCCTTCGAGCTTTAGAAAATTAAAAATTTCCTATAATTACTGGTGTTTATGAAGTTAACTTAGCGGTTTTCATTTGGTCTTTCTCTATCAACAATGAAATTTGGTCCTTCGACCGGTATGCAACATGTCTTGCATTCTACCCCGAACTTATCAATCTAACCCCCTCTCAATTGCTCTAGCATTTATTTTATGACTTAAAACGGAAACTTACCGTTGCGTTGTAACTTTTGACGTTGACCGTTGTTCGAGGTAACACCTGAACTGCCTGGTCCGCCAGAGCCTCCTCCATTGCCACCATGTAGGCGACCATTACGCTGCTTACGTTGATTCTGGCGATTACGTTTACGTTCATGATGTCTTGGTGCTGTCGATGAAGTTTGCAATAAATCCATTTCACCACCGAACGCATCAATCGACGACGCCGCCGCCGCTTCGCCCGTGTGCTCTGCATCCAAATCGAGATTGCTTTCGATCAGGAGACCACTTTTGGTTTTGCGACTTGTTGTTGGTTGTGAGGGAGCATGTTGATTGGTTTCTTGATGCCGTTGATGGTGGTGGCGGTGATGATGATAATGATTCTGGGATGATAGGAATTGTTCCTGTTTTGAATGTTCCTCTGCTTCTTGTTCCAAACGTGTGAAAGTTGAAATTTTGGCGCCCGACCACATGGCTGATGACGATGATGCATTCATTTCAAAATCTTGATAATTTGTGCCATTCGCCGAGCGTAATCTTGACACATGCTGTGTTGAGAGCAAATCGTCCGCATGATGTTTCAGACGATGATGCATTAAATCTTTGGTATAAATCGCTGATGTTTGGCAGAGTAGTGTTAGGGCAAGACATGGTAGGAACAATCTTAGATTGAAGGCGGCAAATCGGGGCCTGCTCATTATTGTGGTCGGCGTTGCTAATCTATTTAATGGCATTTTGAGTCTATGTGGTTTTGGGGGATGCATGGAAATATCTTCAATATTTTAAGGAGTTTTGAGTCAACACATTATGTTAGGATTAGAGCAATGCACTTTTTGAGGTTATATTTAAATCTGAGAAAAGAAAAAAGGAGAATAGAGTAATTAGTTTAAAATTAAATTAGAGAAGTAATAAAAATATTAATTAACTTTAATTAAATCTTCGGATAATACTGATTTGTGATATTAAAAGGAAGATCGTTCATTTATCGTTTAAATTAAATATTTGGTCCTTCGACCTCAATCTATGGAATTACGTTATTCATTTCTAACTTAATTCGTGTACAAAAATCAAAAATGCGATGGAAACGATCAGGAAATGCTAACAAGGTTTGGGGAAGACACAGTCTGGAAAAAAATCAACAAACATGAACCAGATACAATTAAGTTCCGATCGAGACAGAAGGCGCTGAAATCGCAGGCAACGTATATATTGTTCAACGTTTAAAAGCAACAACAATATATATACAATACAACAACAATATAATATATACAACAACAATATATTCGGAATAGGTCGAGCAGTTTTTCTAAAACTGTAGTGTTTTATACTTTCTCTATTTTACATTCGGTTTTTTGACAGCCCTGCGTACATAGTGGATGTGATGTCTCCATTGGGGGACATAGCGTAACAGTACAACACTTTCTCCTAGATGACTGGGGAGAATACGTAAGTGATGAAACATCCAACCTTTTTTCTAAAGGTATATCTCACAAAATTGAGATTTGACCTGCTACGAGCTATACCATCTATACACGGACATCGACATAGTCAGACGTATCGAGCTGCAGCGACTACGGTGGCTAGGCCATGTAGTGCGAATGGATGAGGATGCCCCAGCTCATAAGGCATATAAGAGCGAGCCTACTGATGGTTCACGCAGAAGGGGAAGACCAAGCATTAGATGGAAAGATTAAGTCGACGACAATATATCGGAACATGGTCTTTCAAAAATTGGAAAAACTGCGCACAAGACTGATGCGCCTGGAAATCTTTTTGGAACAAATGTTCTGTCTCGAGCCACCTAAGTAAGTAATACTAACATAGGTTAAATGGCTTAAACCAAACTATACTACAGGGTGAGATGAAAAACTGCAACCAATTTCAGACTGCTGTCTTTTCTAAGCCCTCGTCCGACAGCTGTTAAAATTACTCCAGTGATAGCTCATTATATTGTTTACAAGCGTACATATGCATTTTGGTGAGAATTTTCCAGAAAAAAGTTATTCGTGATGGAATTCAAGCGAGATAGTGTGATTTCTTTATATTTGGCTGGATAACCACAAGTGGCTATCGTCAGAACACTCCAGCATTTAAAGGTGAATAAATCTTTTGTGTCTCGTACCATCGCTCGTTACCGTGATACTGGTAGCGTAGCCCGACGTCAAGAAAGTGGACGGAAGAAAACAGCAACATCAGCTGAAATGGTTCGAAAAGCAAAGAAGCGACTTGATCGAAACCCGCGTCGCAGTGGCCGAAAAATGGCTCGTGAGCTGAACATATCGCAATATTCCATTCGGCAAATATTGAAAAAATGAGCTCGGGGTAAAGCCATTGAAATTCCAAAAAGTTCAAGAACTTACACCACAACAGAGAGAAAATAGACTTAAAACAGCTAAGAAGTGGCTTCGCTTGTCCGAAAGTTGTGAACTGCCGAATTTGGTTTTCTCCAAAGAGAAGACATTCGTTGTCCAACAGTTTGCAAACAAACAAAATGATCGTGTTTACTTGCCAAAGAGGTCTGCTGAAAATGAGCACCTTCGGTTGGCCACCAGAACTCAAGCGCCGGCCATGCCAATGGTGTGGGCCGCCATAACAGCCGATGGCCGCTCTCCGCTCGTATTAATCGACCGTGGCATCAGAATAAATTCCGAATATTATCGTGAAAATATTCTGGAGGGTGTATTAAAGCCTTGGTTACGCAAACATTTTGGCCGCAGACCTTGGACATTCCATCAGGACACAGCACCATCACACTCAGCACGCGCAACCCAAGAATGGTTACAAAATGGGGTTCCTCGCTTCCCCCAAAATATCCGGATACCAATCCGTTGGACTATTGTGTCTGGTGTATTTTAGAAAGCAACGTTGGCACTAAAAATACCAAAGTGTCGATCACCTCAAGCAAGCGTTTCGCCGGGAATAGGCCAAAATACCGCAGAGCAACTTTCGGGCAGCGTGTGACGGTTTCATTGGCCGTTTGAAGGCCATAATTGACTATACCAAACAATAGATAGATATTAGAAACTTTAGACAGGAATCGTTTGTATCCTCTAATATCCTGACAGTGCAATTTGCAGCGGATTTGATTGGAAAATTCATTTGAAATCTTCAAAATACTTGAATTCGTGAGGTTCTTTTAGGTATCAAATTATAGCTGATTCTGGTAAAAACTGTGACTGAAAACGTGAAGTTAAGGGCGGCAAAAATGATTTTTTAAAGCTCTACCATGGAAAAACTTGACATTTGGCCTAATTATGCTAATTAAAATCTGCAAAATTTTGAGGTTCTGTATATGGGGCCTAAATGTACGCGATGTTTATACCCTTCACCACAAGGTGGTCAGGGTATTATGTCTGTGTGCATTTGTTCATAACAGGAAAAAGAAACGAAATAGACCCATAGTTCCTTTTGATGATCTGCATAGAATCACATTCTGAGTCGTTTTATGCATGTCCGTCTAGAGTCTAGAAGTTAGAATGTCAAATTTGATGAAGATCGGTTCAGATATAGCTGTAGCTCCCATATATATTGTTCATCCGATTTGTTATTTTTTTTAATTATTATTTGTTATTTGAAGTTTTACTCAATATGCAAAGGGGTGTAGGATATCAAAAAGTCTTGTTCGACTTTTAGACTTTCTTTAAAATATTAAGAACCCCAAATTCGAAATTGAGGAGCCAGGAACTTTTAACCGGATAATTTATAATTCATTATATAAATACATTATAAATTAATATAATACATTACAATCTAAAGTGTTACTCTCTGAAATTACTACCTTATCAAAATGTAAACTTTGAAAAAAAAATTGCTCAATAATAAAAACCTTAAATCTTGGGGCCAAAACCTCCAAAATCCTGAAAATCAGAAGCTAATATTATATAATTGTTATATATAGTGTACCTAAACTGATTTCTTTTCCGAGGGGTAAGCTTATGGGGGCTATATCAAAAGGTGGGGTCATACATTGTATACCCTTAATTTTATGGGGGAAGGTTATGCCATTCCAAACTTCTTACAATTAATGTTACGACCTGGAAAAATATATATATTTCTTTCTCTCTCCCAACTTTTCGTTCCATGCCTTCAAGAAAAAACTAGATTTTGTCCAACGTCCTATTTTTGATATTTACTTCGATGCCCGAAGCCGATATATGAGCCAAATGATGAAACGGTCTTTTTTTGCTTTTGGGAGGGACAATAGAAAATTAAACATCTAAGGGCGCAGAATCAAATATCTACTACGAAAGTCGATTTTGGGACTAGAGCTACAAACAAGAGACGATATCAGCTTTATCAATATCAGGAACGAATTGGTAGATTAATATAAGGTCGAATTATGTGTCCTGAATTTTTTAGCTTGAAGTCCATGACTTTACAAATTGTTGTGTCTTTCCCTAATTTGGTGAATATTTCCGCTCCTAACTGATTTTGAATTTTTCCCTAACATTTCCTTTCCGACAAAAAACCATGAAATCCGCAAAATGTTTTCTTAAACGCTTGTCATTTTTTTAAATCAAAACTTCCGTTTTAATAATGCATCGCAAATACTTTGATTTATTACGACGACTATGGATGGCAGAGGATGATGAGGTTCTTACATTTGAAGATTCCAAGAATCCAACAGTGAGCGGGAGATGGGTAGTAGTATTTTTTTTAATGAATTTCCGGTAATGGCAACCGGGCAGACGACAATCCTCAGTTTTGCATAAATTCTGTTGCAAGATGCTCTCTTTTTTGTTGCATGCAATTTGGCACTGCTGGTGCTGCTGCCGGTGCACTTGTTGTTGTTATTGCTCCTCCTTTAATGATTTACAACGAAACACGCACTTTTTTATGACTTCGTTGAATTTGGCGGAACAGACGCAAAGGAGGGGAATGGGATATTTTATTTTGCACTGCCAGACATTTGCCGCACAAGCGACACGTGCAATTGCATAAAGACTGCAGCAAATAATCACCAGACAAGAAAATCGCAAAATCTGTGGAAATTGAAATTCTTTTCTTTTTTCTATTTTAAAATGGTTTTCTTCTTCTGCGACGCGAAACACTTAACACGCGACAAACACACGCTCACGATTTGATTGCAAAGGGCGCGTTTAAATAGGCGCGTACTGATTTCACTTCACTTCTTCACAGTTTCGCGAAAAATTTGGCACAACGACAGTGGCTATTTTGGGCACATCCTCTTTGACGCCGCATTAAACAACAAAACAAAAAAAAGAAAACACTCACTTCGTCAGAAACACTAAAATTTTTTCTTCTCCTTCTAAAATTAGATATCTTCCTTTGGCACTCTTCTTTATCTTTGATTTCTATTTTTTTCCTTTAAATTTGCATTTTCCTTGCTATTTTTTCACTTCACTTTTATTTCTTAATTTCAAGATTAAATTTTTTCTTTCTTTTCGAACACAACTTTTGCTTTTATTTGAAATTTTTGCTCAGCAGCTTCTTCTCCTTTACTTTTTTTTGCTGTTGTTGTTTAGAGAGCACTTCCGTTCGCTTCTTTTCTTTTGAATGAAACACAAATAAAAAAGAGACCGTTGTTTAAGGTTCGTATCGTTTTCGTTATTTTCCGTATCCACAACCGTTCGTTACGCGCCTCCTCGTTTAACTAAATTTATGCGACAACATCATTTGTGTGTTCGGCCTGTTGCGCCTTCCATGGATGTGTGGTGAGTTGGGAGGTATGTGAGTGTGTGGGTATGTGTGTGCTTGTTGCCAGTGCAATGCAATTCAACCAACGAAAATGCACTCTGATCATAATATGAAGAGAGACAAAGAGAGTGAGAGAATATTAAATGCAACATTGAGAGAAATGTGTGGATTGTGTTTTCATAGAGCACAAGGTGGTGAAATTGAGTTGTAAATAAAGGAATTAATAATAAAACGATTATTGAAGGGATTAAGAGGATCATTAAAGGACTTCAAGGACTATATTGGTGTATTATACCTTCAAAGAATTACTTGGTTGTCTACAGATAATAAATAAAACGATATTGAATAATTTTCCTGATACATAAAATGTATTTCAATAAAAGATCAGAAAGCCTTGTTGGACCAAAGGAATCATATAAGGCTAAGTTCTGATGGGGCTCTTATAAAATACCCTCCTACCTAAATTTAAAAGGAGAAATTAAGTTTGTCCTGTAAAAGGCAAGAAGATTTTACTGCCGCGAAACACCGTCAACAGATCTTCTTTTCCCAAAAAAACTAAAAGATCTCCTAAAAGTGATCTTAAAAAACCAGAAGGTTCTGCTAAAAATATTAGAACGGTCAAGATCATCCTATAAGAGGCTAAAACATTTTTCCAAATACGATCAATAGGTTTTCCTAAATAACCAAATGGTCTTCTTATAGAAGATATACGACCTCTTATTAGAATACAAAAAGTCTTTCTGGTTTTCCCAAATAACCAAATGGTCTTCTCATAGAAGATAGACGACCTCTCATAGAAGACAAAAAATCTTTCTGTAGAAACCCAGAAGATCAACCCATAAACGAACAGAAGGTCTTTCGGGCGAAGATCACCATAGAGAAGAAAAAAGAGGCACTAGAAGAGCTGAATGTCTTTTTGAAAAGATCAGAAGGTTCTTCTTGAGAATATGAGAAGCTTCTTTTGAGTGGAACAGAATGTCTTCTTTGAGAATAGTAACAGGTTGCCTTTGAAAGGATTAAAAGGTCGCATTTGAAAAGGGAGAAGTTCTTCCTTCAGATGATAAAAAGCTCCTTTATGAGAGGAGCAGAATGTCTTTATTGAAAAGAGCAGAAGGTCGCCCTGGATAGGGTAAAAAGTTTTTTTATAGAAGACCAGGAGATCTTCTTTGAAAGAAGACTAGAGGATCTTCTTCTATGGAAGGACAGGATGCTTTTTTTGATAAGAACAGTGCGACTTTTTTTGTAGTCAGGAGGTATTTTTATAAAAGACCATCAATGATCGGAATGGCGTCTTTCATAGAAGACATGGAGTTCCACTTTCATAGAAGATCAGGAGGCCTTCTTCCTCAGCAGACCAGAAGGTCTTCTTCCTCAAAAAGAACAGAAGTCATTTTCCTCAAGAAGACAAAGGACCAGGTGCTCTTATTCCTTAAGAAATGGTCATGTTCCTAAAAAGGACCAGGAGGTCTATAAAAGACTAGAAGCAAACCAGGAGGACTTTTCCATTGAAAATCAGTAGTTCTTCACCTAATAGATGGGGTGTCTTCTTTTATATAATACCAGAAGTCTTTTTCTGTAGAAGATTAAGAGCTCTTCTCGTGATAAAAGACCAGGAAAAGACCTGGAGGTCTTTTTCCATACATAATGAGGAGGTCTTATTCCATAGGAAACCTGGAGGCCTTCTTCTAAGGAAGAACCGGAAGCCTTCGAAGAAAGACCATGAGGTTTTCTTCTATGGAAGACCAGCAGGGTTTCGGAATTTGGTTTTCTCCGATAAGAAAACATTCGTTGTGTAGCAGTTTGTAAACAAAATGATCGAGTTTGCTTGCAAAATAGGTCAGCTGAAAATGTGCATCTTCGTTTGGCCACCAGAACTCAAGCGCCGGCCATGGTGATGATATGGGCCGCTATAACAGCCGATGGTCGCTCTCCTCTCGTATTAATCGACCGTGGCATCAGAATATATGCCGAATATTATCGCGAAAATATTCTGGAGCCTTGGACACGCAAACATTTTGGCCGCAGACTTTGGACATTCCAATAGGACTCATCACCATCGCGCTTAGACGCGCCACCCAAGAATTGTTACAGAATGAGGTTCCTCGCTTCATTTGCAGCGCAAAATGTCTAAAGAAGACCAGGAGGAAACTTGGAGGTCTTCTACCATAAAAGATGAGGTTGTCTTCTTCCACAGAAGACCAGGAAGTCTTCTTCCATAGAAGACCTCGTGGTCTAAAAAACCTGGAGGTCTTCTACCATAGAATACCTGGAGGTTTTCTACAATAGACGACCTGATGGTCCCCTATCATAGAAGTCCAGGTGGTGCTCTATCATAGAAGACCAGGTGGTCTTCTACCATAAAAGACCTGGAGGTCTTTTCCCATAGAAGACCTGGAGGTCTTTTCCCATAGAAGACCTGGAGGTATTCTTTCATAGAAGACCTGGTGGTCTTCTTCCATAGAAGAGAAGGTGGTCTTCTTCCATAGAAGAGCAGGTGGTCTTCTTCCATAGAAAGCCTGGAGGTCTTCCTCCATAGAAGACCCGAAGGTATTCTTCCATAGAAGACAACGAGATTTTTCCATAGAAGACCTCGAGGTTCTTTCATAGAAGACAACGAGGTCTTCTTCTATAGAAGACCAGCTGGTCTTCTACCACAAAAGAATAGGATGTCAAAGAAGACCAGGAGGTCTTATTCCAAAGAAGGCCAGGAGGTTTTCTTTCAAAAAAGACCACGACGTCTTCTGCTATACAAGACCAGAAGGTCTTAATCGCATGGAGGACCAGGAGGTTTCCTCATATTAAAGAAAGTCGAAGGGTCATTTCGAATCGTAGAAGGCTATGAGGTCTTCTTTACGAGGAAGAACTCTGCTCTTTTAGAAGACGTTCTGGTTTTCTATAGAATACCTCCTGATTTCCTATCGAAAAAGACCTCCTCTTCTTCATACGAAGAAGACCTTTTTCTGTTCCAGTCTCCTAGTCTTTACTATGTCCTTGATGGTCTTCTATGAGAAGAAGTTTCCATTCTCTCTGTGAAAATACCTTTTTGGTTCTCTCTATTTCAATTTGCATTCCACATTGTTTACTTTGAGTTATTGTGAGAGCGTAAACAATATTCACCACTCTCAGCGACATATGATTAAATAACACCTCGCTGAGAGCAGGTACCAACAACTCTTCCACACACACACACCAATTTACACCTCAAGCAAGGTATTTCCCAAGGATTATTAAGGAGATCAACGTTTATGACCTGCAACTGTCAAGTGCCAACTAAAAAAGGAGGGTCGTGTTAATGTTTATTGTGTTTAACAAATACAGATCTACAATCTGGCCTAAAGCAGTTAGCCACAATTGTTGAGAGGCATTATTGCGTGTGTGCGTGTTTATTTGGGGTATTATTTAATGTTGATCCTAAGTGGTGTAATTTTAGATCCATCCTCCTTTCTTGTGGGATTTTTTTTCTTATTTCAAAGAAAACCAAAAAATTGTTGCAGGTTTATGGTCACGTGTGTTTTTGTGGATTATAAATTCTGTATGGAGAGTGTGAGACCATGAAAAAGGGGCTTAAGGGTGACAGCGTCACTTTGTGTCCTTTGTTGATTGATCTTATCATTTAGCGCCACCCAGTCTCTATTTGTTACAATTTAGAGTGTGATTTATAAGATAAGTACGTGAGCGTGTTCCCATTGGGATCATGGGTGGTCTTATTGAGAATTTTCGTAATTTTTGGACTTGAACTTATTTCCAATTTCCTAGGAAATATTTTTTCTCTGAGAAAACTAAAGTGACAAGTTCCATCACCCATTACTGTCAACACATTGTTTCGAAAGGATCATAACCAATCCGAATGTAATCATCTTCATTATCCCCATTCCTTTTCGCCTCAGTGCCTGACATTTTGTTCTCTGACCGCGCCAAGCTAATCGCATGTTTGTGTCTCAGTATCAAATTCTGAACACATGTTTTGGTGCAGCGGTTCTTTTCAAGTCCACACCTCATCAAAATTTCAAACCAAAATGAGAATGGACAGGCATTACATTTTAAGTGGCGGCAGCACATTATGCATCGAATGGCGACTATGATACTGGATGGTCTGAGTGACTGACTGGCGGATGGACTGATCCATGACAGAGTTTAGATAGCAATGAACACTTTGCATTCTCTTCTGCTTCTCAGTCAACAAACAAATGATTAATCTGCATCCTTCTGATCACTCTCCGCATGTTTTATCGCCTTCAATTCATCAACACCATAAGAGACAGAGCTGCACACACTCACACACACCCTCAAACACATTTCATATTCCACAGCCATAAAGGCTCAATTTCAAGTGTCTAAGCTTGGCTACTTTTCGTGTTTTTAAGACGATTTTCTTGGCGATTACCAGCTGATGGTTTCAAATTACCCACATATCTTGCCTAGCCTGCCGCCAGCCAACCACTTTGACACTCTTAAAAGCATCAGCTAATGGAGTAAGTCAAAAATCTGTGGAAAAATTAACCAAAAGATAGGCATGAAATGTTGGGTGTTTTGTTGGTTAATGACACCTTTTAAATTTTGAAAGCGTGTGTGTGTGTGGTGGACAGAAATAGGAAACAGGTGATGAGAAAAAGAGTATGCAAATGTGTATTCTGCAATAAACAGACCTGAAAAGCTTAAGACTTCTTCTCATAGAAGTGCTTGAGAGCTGGAGGCCCTCTCATAAAAAAGCATAGAGTCTTTTCATGGAAAACCTGAAAGGTCTGCTCTCATAGAAGAGCTGAGGGTCTTCTCTCATAGAAGAGCTGAAGGTCTTCTCATAGAAGAGTAGAAGGTCTTCTCTCATAGAAGAGCTGAAGGTCTTCTCTGATAGAAGAGCTGAAGGTATTCTCTCATAGAAGAGCAGAAGGTCTTCTCCTAGAAGCGCTTAAGGTCTTCTCCTAGAAGAGCTGAAGGTCTTCTTCAAATAGGAG